TTCTGGCTATTTTAGATGAAGACAGGGATTATCTTAATTCGCCTATAACATCAGAAGTGGTCATGGCTGCAATAAAATCAGTGTCATCCTACCCTGCTCTTCGGTCCAGCCCGTCCTGCCTGCTCCGGCCCGGCCTGCTCCAGTCCTGCCTGAGGTGCCTGCCGAGGCGCCCCCTGCTGGCCGCACGACCGCGGCGCCTGCCGAGGCGCCCCCTGCTGGCCGCACGCCCGCGGCCCTGCCTGAGGCCGCCGCTCTGCCCGTACAGCCCGGCTCTCCTGTCCTGCCCGTCCAGCCCGCGGCTCTGGCTGCACCGCCTGTGGCCACGCCCGAAGCTCTGGCTGCACCCCCTGCGGCCACGCCCGCGGCTCCGGCTGCACCGCCTGCCGCCACGCACCCGGCTTTGCCTGAGCATCTGCCCTCGGGGGCCTCCCTGATGGCGCCCTTGCCCCGGCGAGGCCGATACCCCCAAGAACCCCGCCTTTCAGTATCCCGTAAGGGACGGGGACACAGGCGTCGGGTTCTGGTCCCTGTTCCTATTCAGTGTTTCTGTCTTGTTCCCGGTTCCCGTTGATGTCTTGCTTTTGTTTTTCAGCTCCTGCCCCTCGTCTCGTCCGTCGCCTCCTCTCGGGCGCGCCCGGTTTGCACGCCTTTAGGGGGGGGTTTCTGTCACGCCCAGCTCCGTCCGATCCTAATGTGTGCCACGCCCACCTCGTTACCTCCTGTTTCTGCCTGATTGTTCTCACCTGTTGCTCGTTACCCTTAGCTTGTCTTGTGTATTTAGTCCTCGTCTGAGTCAGTCTTCCCCAGACTTGTCAATGACGTTTGGAGATGTGCTTCCCCCGGTCCTGTCCTCGGAATAAAACCCTGTTTTGTGGACTTCCTGGCTTGGCTTGCCTTCTTCCCCGTTCGCCTGCACGCCATTACGTGACACTATTACAATGTTGAATGTTTACGCACCTAACATAGATTCTCCATACTTCATGTCCAAAATGATTTTGTTATTCAATGAACACTGCAAAGGTCTTGGAATCTGTGCTGGAGACTTCAATTGCATGATGGATGAAAAACTAGATAAATCTTCATCAGGTACTCTAGTCAATCCTAAATCTTCTTTGGTTCTCAAAAAATTATGTAAAGAGACCGGTTTAATTGATAGCTGGAGAGAAATGAACCCTCTCACTAGAGACTATACATTTTACTCCCATCCCCATGGTTCGTATTCAAGAATTGATTATATCTTCATTCCGGATATTTATCTAAATCTTGCATCTTTGCAGCGCTGTAAGGGAATCAATACAAAATTATTGGTCAGACAATAAAAACTCACCCGTTTCCCCTGCAGTAATGTGGGATGCAGCTAAGGCTACAATACGCGGATCTTATAGTGCTGCACATAAAAAAACCCTTATATTTAAACAGCAAGATTTAGAAAAGGAAGTTAAAAGGCTAGAACACCTGCATAGTACATCCCCCACTCAAATGAACTGGTCGGCTTTATGCCATGCTAGAGCCAAACTTAATCTTGATCATACTAATCATATTAAAAAATTACTGTTTCTTTCCAAGCAGAATTATTATGAACATGGAAACAAATCTGGTAGACTGTTAGCATATCAGATTAAAAAGAAACAATCCGAGCGAGCAATTAAGTCTCTAAAGATGCCAAACGGTGTCACTGCAGTACATACAATCCTGTTCTTATAAATGACACATTTCGGTCTTATTATGAATCACTTTATTGTTCACAAAACAGTGCCTTACAATTAGAATTTCTAACTTTTTTTAATAATATTTCTCTTCCGGCTATTTTAGATGAAGACAGGGATTATCTTAATTCGCCTATAACATCAGAAGTGGTCATGGCTGCAATAAAATCAGTGTCATCCAACAAGTCACCAGGACCCGATGGTTTTCCTATCGAATTTTACAAATCATTTTGGCCCGAGCTTTCTAACATTTTTATGCCAGCTTTACGAGCTATTTTAGATCATGGCACAATACCTGAAACATGGAATATAGCAAATATCTGCGTAATACTCAAGAAAGATAAAGATCCACAAGATTGTGCATCATACAGACCAGTAAGTCTACTGAATACAGATTCTAAAATACTGACAAAAGTTCTGGCACGTAGGTTAGAGAACATATTACCCAAGTTGGTTAAGCCGGACCAAACAGGGTTTGTGAAATCACGTTATGGCACAGATAATATACGCTGACTTTTAAATGTTATTAACTTTGTTCAAAGTGAAAGGCACCCTGCACTTGTCCTCTCCCTTGACGCTGAAAAAGCTTTTGACAGAGTCGAGTGGGATTTTCTGTTCGCCACACTTAGAAAATTTTACCTAGGGAATAACTTTATTAGGTGGATTCAGTTGCTTTATCTTTATCCTAGGGCAACAGAAACTACGAATGGTCTCACTTCGACTCCGTTTAGCATCGGGAGGGGTACGAGACAGGGTTGTCCTCTCTCACCTTTACTTTTCGCTCTAGTCATTGAACCCTTAGCAGAACTTATCAGAGAGAACAGAAATTTTCACGGCGTTTTAGTGGGGGGAGAAGATCATCGAATATCACTTTACGCTGACGATGTACTTATATTTATGTCTAAACCAGAGCAATCTATTCCAGTACTATTAGAATGCATTTCTTATTACAGTAGTCTTTCTGGTTATAAAATAAATTTTTCCAAATCCATTTCATTACCTTTAAATGTATTTTCATTAGAACATCTAAAATTAATTTCCCCTTTCCAGTTATCAGAAAATGGCTTCAGATATCTAGGCATTTTTGTCACAGCCTCACTTAATGATCTTATGAGCAACAATTATATTCCTCTTATAGAGAAAATCAAACTTAACTTGAAAATATGGTGCTTACTTCCAATCTCATTTCTAGGGAGAATAAATGTAATTA